GGTGCCATTGCCTTCTCCGGTCTTCTATACCTAAGCATCTTTCAAAGATCTCACCTCCAAATACTAAAACATTGGTGACTAGATTTTAAACAAACATTAAGCAACATACAGCAAAACAGGATGCTGAGAAACATTAGCAAACAACAAGTAATTCTTTCTAAAGCGTCTAGGTATACAGTATGAAAAGGACTTTTGATTTTACAGAAGGCTTCTTATGCTCAATTTGTATGCATGATTTGTAGCATTTTCTACAACATCCTTTTAAGGATAAGGAGTATGATATATACTCCAGTTAGATAAACCTTCCACCAATAAAGAAATAATTTTGTTTTATTAGTTCTGAGTTCAATCAGTTGCCAATAATATTTTGTTTTTTCAGCTGAATAAACAATAAATTCAGGCAGTCATTTACACCTGTGGTACACTTGAAAGTTTAGAACACAGAAGTCAGTCATTCACTCTGTCATTAAAAAGATAATGCAGCTGAGTTGAATTAACTCATTCAGGGATGCATTTCTTCCCAAAGGAAACTACAAAGTTATTCCTCACAAACTAATCTCACTGCTCCCACACAATTAGGCATTAGAGATCAGATAAAATGTCACTGCACTTACTGGGCTTCCCACGTTGTACAGTGGTAAAGATCTGCTAATACAGGAGACACAAGAGACAAGGGTTTGGTTCCTGGGTTAGTAAAATTACTTGGAGGAGGAAATGGCAACCCATTCTAGTATTCTTGCCTGGAAAATCCCATGGACAGAGGAGCCTGGTGGGCTACAATACATGGGGTCACGAAGAGTCAGACACAACTGAGCACCCAAGGCCTTTTTTTGGACCTTGCCAATTATGCTATAAAGTGGATTATCTCTGTAATGTGAGAACACTGTAGTACTTGTTAGTTTTCTAATTGTTAATTTCACCAAACAATATGTTTAGTATCAAATAGGCCTTAGCCAGGTGTTTTCTTGATGTTGTAATACTTTAAAATAGAAGCATAGTACAAAGAAAGTGAAAATGACCATTGGGGTCCCAGAAACCAGAACCTAGTAGTAAGCATGGGTCGTGGGTCCCGGCCAAACTTATGCACAAGATTTTAATGGATGCACTTCTGTATTGTTCTGGATCTCACTAAGCAATATCTTCTTTATGCAGAGTAGTGGTGTTGAGGTTCTGGGTTTATCACCATCTCAGAATAAGTCTATGTTTGGGTTATAAATATGAGGAAACACCATAGAAAACTAGTCTTAGAAGCAACACCTTGAAGTAATCTTGTAAAGAATCAGTAATATAGTAAATATAGTAATATAGTAAATATAAAATATAGTAAAAAGAATAGTAAAGAATCAGCAATATAGTCCTTATGATCCAACTGTCTGGGCAGAGTGATGAATCTTTATTTCACTGAATGGTAATATTAAGAAAGATTATCTGGGTGGCAATAGTCATTCTTCCAGATACCTCTTTTTTTTTTTTAAATAAATTAACCACCACCCTTGAGGAGTGATCAATAGTTTAAAACTGACCTAGGTTGAAGAATTACTGAAATGCCCACTCCAGCCTATTTCTTAAGACTGTCTTTAGTTTTGGTGAATGAGAAAGCACTTGTTGCCATTTCATTTCTGAGAACTGCTGAGTTAGTAGGGAAGGAAGTGAGAGATGTTCGATTGAATTCTGTCCTGTGGGGGAAGGACAGGGCTGGGCTGTGCCTCTGAGCACCAGCTTCTGCTTTTGTGGGGCTGGCTTCCCAAGTAGCTGGTTCCTATTTATAAATGTCTGTAAAATTGGTTTGAGGAGTCCTACCTAATCCCCTTTCTGGAAACAAACGACCCCGGGTTCAGGGAGTGGCTAACTTTCTTTGCCCAAACTCAGGGCCACACTCAGTGGAACATTTTTAACTGGTTTCCTGTCCGTAAATATTTTAAAGATTTGGTCAAACCTTAAGAAAAAAAAAAAAAAAAGAGGGTCTGATTTAAACGTTGCTTCTGTGAGAATTTTTTTTTTTGGTCTGTGTTGAAGAATATAGCTTGAGAAAAGCCTAGTTGAAGCATCAAGTCACATCAGATAATAATGATAGAATGATAGAGCTTCTGATCCAGTCTATGGGAGCCCTAATGTTGGATGTAGTTCTGCCATTAACTGACAAGTTTCATTATTTATTTGATATTAAAATCATGCTTATAATATTACTTTACACCATTTTCCAGCATTACATCAGTGTCTTTGGCACATTAGACCTTATTTGTCCATGAAGTGAAAGTTTCTTAAGAATGTCTTGACTCTCCTGCTAATGTTGTGATTTATTGTTGAAACTCATTTTTTGTGCTGTAATGTATCTATGCTGCTTGTTTGTAGATGTTTGGGAAATGGTGTGGTTGAGATAAAAATATTCAGAAAGATTTAAGGAAAAATTAAGTCTTCTGCCAACTAGATTCTCTGATACTCTTATTAACATATGTTACATTTCACATAGTTAATGAGATAATTCTCTAAAGCACCATCTTGCTGCTAATACTTTTATTTCTTTAGTCTGCTTTTTGACTCATAATTTCTCCATTGCAATTTAACTCTAAAAATTACCTTTAGGTTGGAGGGCTCTGGGGTCAAGACTGCCTAGATTCAAAACTCAGTTTGGCCTTCTCTGGGCTTCCTTGATGCCTCAAAGGGTAAAGCGTCTGCCTGCAATGTGGGAGACCAGGGTTCCATCCCTGTGTGGGGAAGATCCTCTGGAGGAGGAAATGGCAACCCACTCCAGTACTCTTGCCTAGAGAATCCCATGGATGGAGGAGTCTGGTAGACTACAGTCCATGGGGTCCCAAAGAGTTGGACATGACTGAATGACTTCACTTTCTTTCTTTCTTTCTTTTTGGCCTTCCCTGGCTATGTGGTCTTAGGTGAATTTCATTATTTGTAAAATGGGGATAAAAATTAGCAATCACAGAATTATAGAATAGCAAGGGTGAAAATATTCCTTGAGTATCTACTATTTGTTAGGCACTACTGGACAATTTGGGGCTTCCCAGGTGGCAGAGTGGTGAAGATCTAGCCTGTCTATGCAGGAGACATAAGAGATGCAGGTTCGATCTATGGGTGGGAAGATTACCTGCAGGAGGGCATGGTAACCCACGCCAGTATTCTTGCCTGGAGAATCCAATGGATGGAGGAGCCTGGCAGGCTGGTCAATAGGGTCGCAGAGTCGGACACAACTGAAGCGACTTAGCTCGCGCACACACACATCGGATAATTTATGAGTCCATGTGATGCTCTGTGAGGTAGGCATCCTTTTATTTTTGGATGATTCAATTATGACCAGAAAGCTTAGTCAATTTTCCTAAAGGTCACACAGCTGGTAACTACTTCAAGCTCAGGTTTGTTTCTAAAGCATATGTCCCTTTCACTCCATAACATAAAGAAAAATTTACTCTTTTCCCTCCCTAGGTTATAACGTTTCAGGGTTTCCCACTATTACACAGTTGTTTTGCATGTAGAAAACAAATGTGTGACTTGATAGAGGTCATGACATGGAGGAAATTTAAATGTGAAAGAAATGAAAGAAGACAGTATGAAAAAACTACATACTCTATGATTTAAAATACATGACATACTGGGAAATGAAGACATTTAAATATCAGTAGTTGCCAGGGATAAGGGGAAAGGGAACGATGAATAGGTGGCACACAGTATTTTTTGGTTGGTGAAACTACTCAGTATGATACTATAATGGTGTAAACACATACATTTATCCAATGTATAATATTATAAATGTATTATTATACATTTATACAATGTACAACACCAAGAGCTGACCCTAAGGTAAATTATGGTTGGGTGACGCATTAATGTAGATTCATCAACTGCAACAAAGGTACCACTCAGGGGGAAATACTGATAATTGGGAGAGGTTATGCGTGTGCAGGTGTAGAGTGCAAGGGGAATCTATGTACCTTCGAAACTTTTGCTGTGAACATAAAGCTGTGCCCCCCCCAAAAAAATAAGTCTACTAAAAAACAAGCATAAAGAAAAGCAAAATGGTGAAATGGTGTAACTTGAAAGCAGAGTAAGGAAAAATAAATCTGCAAAAGAACTTATCTGCCTAGCATTATAGAGTGAAAAAGACGAAGTCTAAGTCGGACAACTTGTGCTGACGTCCTGATTGCTCACAAAGTTACTAGGTGACCTTCAGCAACCTACCTCACCTTTCTGGCGTGTCTGCGTGCTCAGTCGTTTCAGTCATGTCCGACTCTTTGCGACCCTATGGACTATAGCCCACCAGATTCCTCTGTCCATGGGATTCTCCAGGCAAGAATAATGGAGTGGGTTGCCATGCCCTCCTCCAGGGAATCTCTCCGACCCAGGGACAGAACCGGTGTCTCTTGCACCGCAGGCGGATTATTTACCGATGAGCCACGGGGAAGCCCCCACCTTTCTGGATCTCAGTTTCAAAATGCTTTAAAATGTGCCGGTTAAACTGATCTCTAACTTCTCTCCCGGCCCTAAAATCACAGCTTTATATCTAAGGACCCACCTACTTTCTTTTTCTTTCAACCCAGAAGAACCATTCTCGCCTAAACCTTGTTCTTACTCAACTGCGTACTTTCTGACGTACTCGCTGGATCTTAAAACAGAGCAACTAGTCCTCGTGACGGCGAAACTAAACAGTGGGGGTGGAAGACTGAACTCAGAGGGGAAAAAAAAAGCAAGTAAGCGCATAAGTTTCACATCCAGCGGCAGTAACCCGAAGAAGGTAGACACGGATGGGTAAAACTGACGCTACGTAGCGACGGCGGAAGCACGAGGAGGGTGAGGCCCAGAGCCGATTGGATGGCTGAGGGGGCGGGGCCCGCGCTCACAGCGCTGGGAAGAACGAGGGAGGAACCACGGAAGCTGCGCGCGCGTCGCTGGATGGTTTCTGCTCCCTGGCTTCCCTTCCCCGGAGCCTGGAGGGCGGGTGGTCGGGCGTGCCGACGCCGTGTGACGTCACAAAGGGCGGGGCGACCCGAGAGTCCTGCCTGCGCGCGGGCGCGTTCCGCAGTCGGTGTTTGGGACGCTGGGTGCACAGTGACTCGGTGTCTGCTCCGGGTTCGCTGTCACAGCCCAGCCCTTCCTGGAGTCCTGGACGGACAGGGCACGCGCCCTATGTGTCAGCGGGACTCAGGACAGAGGCGTCCTCTCGCTGCCTTTTTTTCTTCCTTTTATCCAAAGAAGGGGGCAGTTCTCACGCTTGCCTTCCTGTCGCCCCGTTGGGAGCGGGGTTGGTGTGCGGAGTGGTTCGTCTTTTTTTCTTTTAAACTTGTGAGCGTTTTTTTTTTTTTTTTCTTTCCCTTTTTTAGGCTCAGTGCCGTCTGGACTGGTTTCCTCGGTCCCTGACTAACCTCTTTCTGCCCCTTCTCTCGCCACCCCCGCCCAAGGTCGCCCCTCCGCCCTCGCCCCTGGCCCGGGGTGGGTGGGAAGCTTTGTCCGGCTCCCTCCCCACCCGAGTCTCCGCAGCGTAGCCGCACCTGCCTCAATATGAACGGGGTCAGGGACCCCCTTCTTTTTATAAAAGATATTAAGCCCGGACTGAAAAACTTAAATGTCGTCTTTATTGTCCTGGAGATAGGTAAGTGGGGTCCGCAGCCCGCTCCGCCGCCCTGTGCGTCCCGGGACAGGAGGGAAGGGCACCGCAGCTGCGAGCCGGGGGCTCCCTCCCCCTCTCCTCTCTCGCCTCTCCCCTCCCCCATCCACGTGGCCCCATTGGCCCCCGCCGGCTCGGTAGCTCGCCTGCGGCGAGAACCTGAGGCTCGGCCTCTTCCCACCTTTCAGGTGCAGTTTGATCCTGGAGGAGGAATTAGCTTTTTGGAAGTCCTCATTATCTAATACACCCCTCCCCCTTTTGATTTTTAAATCTTCACAGGACGCGTGACCAAAACCAAAGACGGCCATGAAGTGAGATCATGCAAAGTAGCAGATAAAACTGGCAGCATCACTATTTCCGTGTGGGATGAAATCGGAGGTCTTATACAGCCAGGGGATATTATTCGGTTGACCAGAGGGTAGGTGTGCTTAAAAGGGTTGGGGAATGAGTGCGCCTCCAAAGTAGGAGTCTGCAGAATCCAAATTGACTGATGCCCGCGGCACCTTGGCAAGTTCTGGTTAAAGTTTAGGGTTTTCTGTGGGCCACTCCGAGGATTTTTGAGCCCCATCGATGTTAACCTGAGATGGTGGACGGCATTGGGATGAAACAATTTTGCCTTTAAAAAGTTTCAGCTGGGAATCTAAATAGCCACACCTTGTTTACAAATTAGGTAGATTTTTAAATACCACTCTAGAATTTTTCAGTCTTTTAAGTAGATTAAAACTGACAGTTAATCTTTTTTCATTAACTATATAATGTAGTTGTCATTTAGTTTATTTTTCCAACTTTTCCTCCTTTTAATAACTTTTGAAGTCCTACCCATATTTTATTTGTGTACACATTTAGACCGTGTGTACTTAAGTTGAGATTGTAGCTGGAGAATTTAGCCAGTTTTGTAGTGTGTCCAATTTGTACTCGGATGTAAAAGTTGAAAGAAAGTTTACAGTATCTGGAAGGTACGTTCTTGAAAATGATTCCTTTTTCCTACTATTGTAAGGTCAGTGTTACACAAAAACCAGAATGTTATGCAGAAAATGTTTGACAGAAGGATATCTATGATACCTCTGTCCAAAAGAGTTGGCAGATTGGCTTTTAAAAATAGTACATTCTTTTGGAGGGGGGGTGGGGGAGGTTAGTAGTTAGACTGCATTTACCAAGATTTTAACTTCGGAAGATAAAATGCTAGAGAAGGATCTTTAGATTTTGGAACCTTTTTGGTTTACAGAATTATAACAATTTATTGGTCAAAACTGTAGGAAAAGTGGGTGGAGATTGATGTTAGCTTAGTGAATAGAATCTCAGAAAAGTGTTGGATCACCCTGAAAGTAGCAACTTAAGAGCCCTTTGATAGTATCTTACAGGTCTTACAGCACCTTCAGGAAGTGAGGCAGAGTATCATCAAAGAAGGAAGTGAGACTCAGACATTTTTTTCTCATACACTGTGACTCATTATGACACTGGTTAAGTCTTTTAAACTTCCACATTTTTAACTTGCACAAAAGAGAATTTCTACCAGGGAGGGTAGGGTGAAACTTAGCGTAATTAAAGTTTTTTGGCTGCCAGAGTATCTCATCCAGTGATTAGAAGTTATTTTATACACTGTAAACAGCTTCTCATTTCGATTATCGCATATTTTGTAGTCACAGAAAATACATAGATGTGTCCATCAAAAAAACTGTGGAAAAACTAAGTCAGTAGCCAAGTAGGATCTCCAGGATCTTAAGGAGTATAGTTACCGAGGAGTACAGTGTAAAAGGAACATTGAAAACCAAAGAAATCTACTATTTTCTAACTTCTGTTTAATGTTGAAGTTACTAAAACGTTTTCTCAACTTTTTTCTAAAGTGGGAATCCCAGGTGGCGCTAGTGGTAAAGAACCTGCCTGCCAGTGCAGGAGACATTAAGACACATGGGTTCAGTCCCTGGGTTGGGAAGATCTCCTAGAGAAAGAGATAGCAACCCACTCCAGTATTCCTGCTGGGAGAGTCCCATGAAAAGAGCCTGGCGGACTAAAGTCCATGGGGTCACAAAGAGTCGGACACAACTAAAGTAACTTAGCACGCATACCTTACTTACTAAAGTAACATCCCGTGGAGTATGGCCCATTTGTAAGTCCCTTAAATTCTTGTTGAATCTAATAACAGAAGCTTTTGAAGAAAGGTATACATCTCAATAATGGTAATTTGAATATTGGCACACATATCAGAAAATCCTGCAGACATTGATCTCATTCCTGAAATAAGTGAAAGTTAAATGCTTTAGTTGCAGTTAACCGAATTTTCTCTCAAAATAGGTGTTAATTTTTACTTTAATAAGGGAAGATATTAGTGCACCATTTCAGTCACTTTTTTGTGTAACAAAGTGATGAATGGAATCTTTAATAAATAACATTTACTAAATGAAGAGAAATACATAATGTGAGACTAGAAGAATTTTATTAACTTGTATTAAAAGATAACCCATCACTGTACTTAAATAATGCTTGGTTATAATTTATCTTTCTAAATCGTGACACTTAATAGTAGTTGTACAAAGAACCAAGCCTTGGGCTTATTTTATAATACTAACATTTTTCATAGATTTGTGTATAGGATTATTTTATGTAATGATACTATCTGAATTCAGAATTGTTTAAATGTTCAGAAGTTGTTGCTAAAAATAGGGAATTTGGAAAAGCAAATCAGTGTAAGATTATGATCTTAGTTTTTTAGCCCCTTCCTTGATTAAATTTACTAACTTTTTAGTAACTTAGGAATAACACATACTAGCCTGTGTTTTATAGAGGCAAAGGTAGAACTATTTTACCAATATCTGGTAGACCAATTACGTTAAGTATAAAATTAAACACTGGGGTGTAGATTTTATATGTCCTGTGATTGAATAAAGTAATTTCTGCTTAAGTCCCTGCAGTTTGAAAGTTTTCCCTTTGTTAATTGACCAAAGATGTGATCTTCGGAGTATAATAATGCTTCCTTTGCAAAAAGACGTCTATTTTCTAGGGTTAGTTATTGTTTAATTATATCAAAATTTGGCAGTAGATTTTTGTTCACATTATTATTTAGTAAGTAACAAGTTAATCAATGGCAGACACAGGGCTTGAGCCCCACCTGCACACCAGTACAAAAATTACAGTATAAAAATTTATTTAAGCTGAAGGAAACATACATATTTCCATAGAACTGATGTTTCTTTTCTTTCTAGGTATGCATCCATGTGGAAAGGATGTCTGACACTTTATACTGGAAGGGGTGGAGAACTGCAGAAAATTGGGGAGTAAGTATTAAAATATGTTTCATATAATTGAATACATTACAAAGAATATCAACAGAATAACTGGTAGGTGTAAAGTATGCACCTCTTCCTTGACCTTTTTTGACTGGTAAACTGAATGCTTCCAGCAGCTTAACTCTATGTATGTGCTGGTTTAACAGCTATCAGTACTGTTTCCTGTGGTTGAGAATGTCAGTGTTTCCTGGCAGAGAGCATTGAGAAGCTGAATTTGAGATGATCCCCCGTGGGACCATTTCTGTTGGCTTTGCAAACGTATATCTTTCAGGTGTCACAAGTACCATTTGAAGTAAACTCTGTCATCTAGTGAATTTTCATTTAAGAAGCTGAGTATTAGTTTTAGGCAGTAAGTTTAATTTTTCTTTTTCTCTGTTTATGGGTGAATATGTACCCGTATATAAAAGGATTTGAAGCAGTGACAATTGAAGTCCTATATTTATCTAGTCTAGATACTGTACGGGCTGCCACAGTGTGAGCTTCCATAGACTACTACCCTGGTTATCTCCACTTTGACTTTGAAGAACCATCCTCTCTAGGAGTGTAAAGGTAGTTCAGTCTCCACACTGGCCTAGACATTTGGGATGTACTCATAAAGTATGGTGTAGGCAGTGAACCAAACCATTAAGTCCATTCTATTTGGTTTATGCCTGAGACACCTACTTAATGCCTATCAAAATAGAGGATATTTAAAGGGAGAAGCCACAAATGGCACCAGAAATCAAATAAAGGAAGAATGTATTCTATACTGCAGGCATAAGGTACTTTGGGAAAAATAAGCAATCTGTGAGCTTTTTTTTTTTTTTTTTTTAGCTTTTAAAGATAATAAACTGGTAACACTGCTTTGGCTAGGAGGAAAATTAGAGTTCACTTTTGTTCGTATTTAGAGTAATGTTAGAGCAATGTGCTATGAGAGGTCTTAGCATCAGTATTACAGAAAGAATTAGGATTCTGACACAACCTTCACACACATGTACAGTATTTATAATTATGGAGGTCAGTTACATGAAGAACCACTGGAGGTCACTCAGTGCATAGTGACTTTGTGTTGGGGTCAGTATAGGAGTTACCAAAACTGATTCTAATTTGTGGATTGAGGAGCTAAGAAAATGCTTATGTGTAATGTTAATTAATATACACCACAGTCAGCTGATAAGTCTTGGGATAAACTGTTTTGATAGCCAGTTGTCTTTTATTAATGCCTGTAAAATCCGCTTTTAACCTTGAATGATTATCTTTGCAGATTCGAAGTGATTGATCAAAGAATGACTATGAGTGGATGAGAGTGTGTGAGTGGATCAGTGCAAATCCATCACCACTGCTGGAAAAACCACTCTGGAACCCTATACAGAGGCATCAATCAGCCTGTGTGGAGAAACAGGACAAAGATGTGTTCCTGTGCCCTTGATCTTTGACATTTAATTTCTGCAGTAGAAAATTAGAACTAAAATACAAAATAGAATGTTTCTGACATTGTAGACAGTCAAGTATTTGAGTTTTTTTTTTTTTTTTAATGAAATGAAGCTTTTAGGAAGTTTTGTTGTAAATGAATAGAGTTAGTTAGCATGTTGCTGTTTGGTTAACTCATTGACATATAAGTTCTTTCTTCCTGTTAGTTATGCATACTATATAAAGGTTGATTATTTCAGAAATCATTCAAATTGTCCTTTATTGTCTTTCAGATTTTGTATGGTTTATTCAGAATTGCCAAATTTCAGTGAACCTAACCCAGATTATCGAGGACAACAGAACAAAGGGGTAATTAATCCAAATGTATTGTCTGTTCTTATGATTAGGCTAATTTGACTGTGTAATATAATTCTATGGCTAGGTTGCCAAGCTTTTCATATCCTAAGTATAATGGAGACAGTTTTAAAAAGAATCTTTTAAAGGTCATTTTCATTTTATGTGTTTTGTGAGTCTGTATAGGATCTGAAATGGTGCTGATGAACCTATTTGCAGGGAAGGAATGGAGACAAAAACGTGGACAATGGGCTGGTGGACAGAGTGGGGGAAGGAGAGGGTGGGACGCGTTGAGCAAGTAGCATTAACATGTAGACATTATCTTGTGTAAAGCAGTTAATGGGAGGCTGCTGCAGGGCAGCCTGGCGTTCTGTGATTCTGTGACGCCTTAGAGGGGTGGGCTGGGTGGCTGGTGGGAGGGAGGTTCAGAAGGGAGGGGACACACACACACACACACACACAGATTTGAGTTGTACAAGCAGAAGTCAACACCACATTGTAAAGTAATTATCCTCCGATTACGAATAAACTTTAAAAATTGTTTTAAAAAGCCTTGAAAGTTAAAAAGAATGGATACATGTTTTATATTTATTTTGAAATCTTTATTTGATTAAGTGAAAACTTTTTTTTATAGGCACACAATGAACAGAAGAATAATTCCATGAATAATAGTAACAATGTGGGTACAGGTACATTTGGACCAGTGGGTAAGATTTTTTTTTTGGCATATTTGTGGTCAGGTATAAGAATTAAGGGAATCTTTTAAATGCAAAAAACTTGTCTTTAGGCAAAAATTAGTACTAAAAGGGAAAGTACTGTGAAAGAGGGAATTCTCAACTAATTTTTCTAGAAAAAACAGATACCCTCTTAAGCTAATTTATTGAGCATATTCTATATTTAAAAATTTGGACCAGTTACTGGGAACACAGTGATTAAGAAATTAAGTTTTGTTGATGCATTATGCTATTTTTTGTTGATTTTTACAGAATTTCTACAATCTAGTAATTGTTTATAGTAGATGCAGAATAACTGGTTATTTTTGTGTACTGAAAGCAGTTTATCCTCAGATGAATAGCTCACCTTAGTTTTTCATATGCTAATAGCTGGCCTTTACCCCTCAAATACCCTCAGAGGTCAGTGACTCATATCCTTGTTAAAGGTCTTTTGAAGCCTTTATTCTTAAAGACACAGGGAAAAGTCTTTAGTGACTGGAATTCATTAGGGTGGCTGAGAGGGCTTATCTGGCTGCTTAGACGGTAGAGAATCCACCTGCAATGCAGGAGACCTGAGTTCAATCCCTGGGTTGGTAAGCTTCCCTGGAGAAAGGGCGTAGCAACCTACTCCACTGTTCCTGCCTAGAGAATCCCCATGGACAGAGGAGCCTGGTGGACTGAGGCCTGTAGGGTCGCTGAGTTGGACACAGCTGAGCACACAGCGCAGTGTGGCTGGAGTTTACGTGACCTGTTGGCTACATGCTTTGGCACAGCTCTGATAATTGTTATGTTGTGGGACACTTTGCTGTTTTTTTCTTTAGAAAGTTAGAATTATAGTCTCTTTCTTAAAATATTACTAACCTTATTTGAACCAAATGCCAATTGCTTTTACTTTTTCCCTCAATACAGGTAGTACAGTATCTATGCTTTTTTCCTACTTTGTTATCTTCTCATTCAGTTGCCCAAGTTGCTCTTTTCCCCCACTCCTTATTGATACAAGCATCAAGTTAATACATTTGAAGTAACTACATTTGGAAAAACCTAGAACTCACATTGAGTTTTTTCCAGTAATTTACAAATAAAAGTGTTTGTTTTCCGTAATATTCTTATAAGCATTAATAGCATGTGTTACAACTTTAAATAGATGTAATTCTGTCTGAAAATGGTGATGATTTTTTTATATTCTTTCTTAGGAAATGGGGTTCAGACTGGCCCAGAAGCGAGGGGATGCCAATTTTCATATGCTGGTAGAAGCAATGGCCGGGGACCTATAAATCCACAGCTACCAGGAACAGCTAATAATCAAACAGTCATGACCACAATAAGTAATGGCAGGGACCCTCGGAGAGCCTTTAAAAGATGACCTTTGCCAAATACTCGCATGTAGTTTTTAAACTATATGCCCTACTTGAACACTTATTGCACTTTTATTTATTGTTAACTGTGAAAACTGTTCTTTATCTGTTTCTTTTTATGTTTTTGGTTTGTTAACAAGAGTGGTTTGTTTTTTATAGAAGAACTATTAAGCTGCTCGAGTCTCCTATTGAAGAATGGGAACACTCTGAAGAATAGGGGCATTTATTTTTAGAGCAGAAAGATCTTTGGATATCCTCTAAAAAACCTGCACCCATTTCATGGGTGAGTTACTTATGCCATCAGCATTTTAGCCTCTATGAGTCTGTCTTCTATATAAATTTTGTAATATTTAAAATAAGGCTTAGTGGGAGATGTTCTTTTGTCTTAAATACAGATATTGCCAACTAAAGCAATAACCACCAAAAAGCAAAAATCTGGTCAATGTTAACAGCAATTTTTGAGTGTGACTCCAGGGAATGATTGACTTCTTCATTGAGTGACTGCCATTAAGATTTTCCAAGGACTGAATCATCCTAAACTCTTGTTGTATTACCGAAAAGCATATTCTTTATCAGAATTATGGAACAGAATGTGATCTGTATTATGACAAATTTTTAGAAGGAATCTACATTTATTTTAAAGTAGTCCTATTAATATTTATCAGCTTTGTGCGTTACACTGAATGGAAATTTAAACCTGAGGCCTTGAATGTTTATTTTTTGAAACTACTGTGTCAAATATTAAAGTTTAATTTGAGGGAGTTATGAAGTCATAATAAACATTGATCTAATTTTTACAAATTATGGTAAATAAATATAATAGTGAAGGCAATTCAAATTGAATTTATATTCAATCTTACAGGGTCCTGGGTACTTGCAGAAAATCAGCCTGGAGTGAAAATCCTAGGTACTTACTTATTTGAAGGGGAGTGTGTGTGTGGGTGTTTATTGTCAAAGTTTCTGAACACAATTCACAAAGCCTTATCAGCAGAAGTTAAGAAATGGCTCTCTCAAAGAAGCAAATACAGCTTTATTTAGAAATATAAAGGTTACATTTACTCATGTGATGTTAAATGGTGTCCAGTTCCACTTTTCACTGTAGGGTGGATAACTGGAAGATTTTTCCTTTGTTAGAATTAAACTCTTCAGAATTATCTCTTGAATAAAATTTGCATTAATGTTAACAGACCTTCCTTATTTTTGCTCTTTTCATGATTTACAGTGGAGAGCCAGTACTTTTTTTTTTACTGTAACTGTAGTCATGACTTCAGCCTGGGTGACTGCTTAGCTCTGTATTTGTCACTTTGTCTTTTTTCTCCCACCTCAAATAGCAAAATAGTTTAAGTACGCTTTGTTTTCTGACAGTGCCCGCGGCGTTTGAATATAAAAATCTGCGCCAGATACTTATTTGCTCTAATCCAGTTTCTGACAGTTTAGCACGCATCAGGCACTGCGTCAGTAGTGTTAAGGGGTAGATGAAGTAATGAATAAGCTCGGGAAGTTTCTTTATGGTACTTAAGTAACTGGGGATTATATGTTATAGAAATAAGTTTTCCCTTTATTCACATACTGTTATTATAGTTCATTTGGTTTTGTAACTAGCATTTTTTCAAGATGTTCATAAAATTACAAATGTTTGAAGTTAAAAAAAATTGCAAATTAATAGGTTTTTTTTTTTTTAAATCTTTTAAGTAAGGGTAGGAGCCCTAAGACTGAATTATTTGTGGGAGATTAGTGTTAAAAGTGATTTTGAAAGAATTTTAGAGTTAAAAAAAAAATAATCAGGTATTGGCTTGCTGAGATGCTAATCCTGGCCTGATTCTCTTCACCTGTGGTATTGGACAAGTTGTTCACTTAAAACCTCTGTAAGCCTTAGGTTCCATAACTGTAAAAATAAGTAAGTGATATTACTCCTTTAGAGTTATTTAAGATTTTTCCATGTGAATGATTAGAATGATTTCTGGCTCCTAGTAAGCAGTCAAATGTTTGTTCTCTAATCATACCTCAAGAATAGAAAAAAATGCAGGAGTTAGGTATGGAAGTATTGTACCCTTTAATGTGTTGAGATTAAGTAGAGAAAGACCTTACGTTTTACTTTTGTGATTGATGTTTGCCTCAATAATTTAACCTTGCTGTTCTGTGGGTTTTTTTTTTAAATCATTTATTAACAAATTTCTTTTTTCTTAAGGGAAGCCTCCAAAACCAAAGCAAAGTGACTTACAATTCATAATGAATATTTGCCTTCTCAGCCTGCTTGGACAGTACTCATCAAGAAGTTAAGAGGAAGAAAGTTTCCTACCTTTCCTCCTTCTGACGCTTTCAGCTAACAACTTCATAAGTTTAAACACCTACTGAAAACAAAGGCCATTTGGTATAGAAATACACACTACTGGGTTTGGGTCCCACTCTATTTTTATAAGTCAGTTCTGAAGTGGATTGAGGTGAATTAAAGTCTCATTAGGCAGGTGGCCCCTTCTCTCTGGGCAGGTTCTTTGCGGGGGGTTACTACAGTACAGACTTGGAAACATGAAGCCCATGAAACAAGGTAGTGATATGTATTAGTGAAGCCTGCAGTATGCTTTCCCATGGACATTTACGCAACTCATTTTTGCTTGGTTCCTGTAGTTTTAGTAATTGCATTTTAAATTTGAGGACAGTTTAACTTGAGGCTCACCTAAATAATTGTATCACTGAGAGGAGTATTTGTCACTTGTAGTTTTATCTTTCAACATTTTCAGAGAATGTTTAATTTGCTGGGTTGAGTACTAACTCCGAGGCAATGATACTAAAAACAAACAGATGCAAGTTTAGTAAAATCAATGATCTATAAAGAACTTGTAAAGTAATCAGAAGGTGGTTAACCGGCCCTAGAAAGTTTTCTCAGAAGGTACAAATTTGAGAGTATTTTACATCAGTCTTAAGACACAATAGAAGTTCTTAGTTTATGTGGATCTGACATTCCAATTTAGTTACTGACATGCCTTCCTTTCTTATACCTTAATAATACCATTATAATGTACAATAATAGATTGCTCCAATTGTAGGCTGCTGTGACTTAAAGAGACTTTAATGTATTCACAAATGTTCTATAAACAACAAACTAGAAAACCACCTGAAAAACAGTTTTAACATAAGACTTTTTCACACCAAACTGGTTTTCCCTCTAGACTTGTTTTTGGGGTAGCTTCTGCTATGATGCTTTTTTTTTTTTTAATCTACTTTTCCTTCTGTTAATTCGTTTTATCCCCTATCCAATGAAAGTGAACATTTCTAGTAGAAGAGAATCACAGTTGTTCTCTGGTACAGGATTAATGATAAGTTAAAGCAGATATGCTTGGTCATAGTGACAATCTGTGTATTGAGGTTCCAGCCAATTATTAAATAGATGTTAGGGTAAACAGCCCCACATTTCACAAAGTAGCCATGATACTAACAGTTGAGGTATGCTTTTGAGGAAACCTAATTGTCACCTTGGGAAAACAGCACTATCCTGAATGGTATGTTGTTAGGACCTGAGGAGGAGAAACTACAAAAACTTTCCAGGTGTGTTCAAGTTTTTTTCCAAATCTCTTCAGGTTTACTTTATTAGGGATGCACCAGAATTTGTTCCAATGCTGTGTGACCAGAGTACTCCAGGTTTCTGAGCTAAAAGTGTATAGTGATGTTTCTTAAAACACTGATCACAGATGAGAGAATCAAGTCCAGACCATCTGACAAGCCATTTATGTAATATGTTTCCTCATTAAGAACATTAGGTCCAAAGATGTTCCTAAGAGCTGTTTACCACTGAGATCATCAGTATGATGAAGAGAAAATGAGCATTTTAACAAGTTTTGACTAGTAGACATTCCATTTGTCTTTTTCAAGGCCTTGATAAGTAACACATGTCTTTAAAAATAAGATCTTTAACCCTTTTTAACCAAAATTTGAGTACATTTTTGTTTCATGCTAACAATATTTATACTTCTGGACATAAAGAGTCCAGTTTCTTTGTCCACATATTGATACTGCATAAAACTCAAAGAATGGTTTATAAACCTATATGAGATTTTCCCCAGGAACTTGTTAGGTGTATGGATTATTTCTCTGCTCCACCAGAAGAATGTGTAAGTGTAGGTTGGAGAGAGCTGCACTTGAAACAAAGTCCCTGAAGATTTTTGTCTCCTGCCCTTGATATTAACACAGAAATAACTTTATCTTGAAATATATGTACACATGCACATACCAGTTTATTTTTGTGAGGTTAGAATGTATCAAGGTTCTAGATTATAAAAAATAGTACTTAGACATATACACCTCCAAAAGTCAGAATTGATGGGTAAAACAGTAATTCCAAGCAGGGTAGAGTTTGAGTACAGCTTCTGTTAGCACGCTTGAGTTTTGAATTAGGTTCAAATAGAGTATCTTAGGGTTGGGTTATCCATAGTGGAATTGCATGGCTTCCTCTGGACCTATATTGATCAAAGTGAAAATATCCCTTTTCAAATGTTAGTTTTCTGTTAAAAAGAATTAAAATAGATATTTCAGCAAGGCTGTTTGCAGCAGCATCTGCCTTCCTCCTGTCTCCCAAAGCATTCCTCAATTCCTTTTATTGTGTAGAGAGGCTGGCCAAATTGAAAAGTAGTGGAATTGGAGGCCTGATAAACTTTGCTGAGAATACCTCCAGAACCTACCCTCATTGACCTCAATCCTGTTCTTCAGAGGGGCAGGTATCATAAATAGTTTACATAAATGAGTAATAAACAAGGCATAGTTTGACTGCCTGGTGGGGCTAGTCTTGATTCAAATATAACCCTAACAGGAAGCTGAGTAAGACCTTTGACCTAAGACTAAGATAGAAAACCAATAAAAACAGGGTAGTCAGCATAATTAGTGCCATCTACTGGATGGTTACTAAATCGTTTCAGTAATTTAGGAATCTGGCTTAAAGTGGGAGAAAGTTGCTATTATTCCATCAGATGGGAATTTTTTTGATGTTTAGGCATGTGTGGAAGATCAATAAGGAGATGTTGAGCTATATGTTTATAATTGATGAACAAGCAACACGGACATCAAAAGTAGATTCCTTTCAGTTAAACAGCTTTATTAAGTAAATCCTGTATAGCTCCCTGAAGGGTCAGAAAATATGGGAATTTTTGCCAGGTTTTGTACTCTTGTTATATATTTCAATAATACTGGTGGGAAGTGTAAATTGTTAAAAATACCTCTGGGTGGGCGGTGGTCTGGTGAAAACAGTTGGAAGTAGAACACGAAACTGCTCTTATAAATTTTATTCCTTTACTAATGGTATTTTGTCAAATCCTGGCCAAGTGACTGCTGTTCTTGGGAGTTATGTTGGCTTTGCAGAACATAATCTATTTTAATTGCCAGAGACAATGTGCTTTGGTGAAAAGAACATAGTTTTGAGCTGAGGAGATCTTGGTTTGAGACCTAGATCTATTTTCTGGCTCTATGGTCATGAGCTTTGTTATAAAAAGAGGAATTGGAGGCTGTCTGTATACTGGCAGAGAGATGAGAACTATGTGAGCCAATGTATGCAAAACATCTGTTCCATATCTAGAGCTCAACAAGTGTTATGTTTTTTCCCCATGAGCAATGGAAATAAGAGGCAAATACTGGTCATTTCTCCATGCCATTATTAGGAGACAACCTTTTCTATAATATCTGGAATATTAAGCAGTTTGTAAAATTGCAATTAGGTTCCTTTTTTAAACAAGCTTTTAGAGTTCTGGATGCAGAAAAGTACTAAGCTGAGAATTTACTATGACAGTTGCTGGATTGAGTCTTCATCACAAAATCTGTCCAATAGCAGAGTACCTTGCACTGTTTTTTTGCATTTATCCTTTCCCAGGGTGTGAAGGCGTGACTATGAAAGTGCAGGGGAAGAAGAATGTGTGGGCCAGGGTTTGTGTCAGGGAGAAAGTCAGTGACCAAGGGGAAAACAGGGTATTGGAAGGGATTCTGTATTTCCTGTGACAACCTCAGTGTTGCTATATACCCAGAGTTTGCCGATTTGCTTCTGATAAAGCATTACGTAACTTTCCCCAACATTCTATTATGAAAAATTTCAAATGTGTTGAAAGAACTGTAGACACGTGTACTCGCCAGTGAGATATTACCATTATTATCTGACTCTGCTTGTTTTTATTCCATCCATCTATTCATCCTATTCTATTCATTAGTGTTTTTTATACATTTCAACTAAACCACAGACATCAATGAACAATATTTCACTATTTTGGCATATGTGTTCATTAATGGAGTTCAAGGTGGGTTTTTAGTGTAAAATTTACAAGGAAATGCACAAATCTCAGGTGTACATTTGTGAGCTTTAATGAATGCCTATGCCACCTGTGTAACTCCAACCCCTGTGGAGATATGGAACATTGTCATCATTCCAGAATGTTCTCTCATGTAGCTTCCCAAATGAATTCCTTATCCCCACAGACCCAGTGGCAGTCACTTTTCTGATATTTTAAAAACCACTCAGCTTAAAGCTAACAGTTTCCCATGTACCAAGGGCAGCTCTAAATTGCCTCACTGAGTTACATAATTCCAGTTTCAACCATGCCACAGTACAACCAAGCCCAGCACCCTCACACACCTCACAAATGTAATTCCATGACCTTGGTATTTTTAAGAGTCTCCTTGTTTCAGTTTAGCTCCAGCTCTGCCCCTACTAACATCTATTTTTTCCCCCTCAACATTTACATCTGACACCCTAGCCTCTTGGGGCAGAAACTGCTGGAATGAAGACCAGCTGAACAGTGCAGTCCTACGAATGTGACTGAAAGGAGTTGGTTACCTGGCACACACCGCTGCTCAGAGCAGCTCTGTCAGGGATTGGAGGGGGAGCCTCTGGCAGGATGTGATATGAAGTCCTCTGGGATGGAGTGTCAGGAGTAGAGGGACACGGGAACTTCAGTGTTCGCAGGTCTGATGCTCAGCTGTTTAGCAGATCTTGAGTCTAAAACATTTCTTAAGGCATGAGCTGACCAGAAGTGTCTTCTGCTTACGGTTTTGCGTTTTCTTCCCATCAGTTGGCTTCAAAGCTGGCATCTTCAGAGTGTGTGAAAGTTCCTTGCCAAGCAGAGGCCCGCCACTCTCAGACTATAGGGAAGCATCCCAAAGTGAAACACACTGAAGAAAACACTTGTGTGTGTTCTTTCCCAATGTATGTACACATGTATACACACATAATCACTGTGAAAGTTTTTTTCTGCATTAAGCCCACATTTCTCAGTCTTAGGTACTTGCCTTTTTCTATTACTTGGTCTCTCCACTTCTTTAATGGGTACCCATAATTTATTGCACCCTTATTATGGGCCAGCACTGTACTTATATGTACACATGTATACACACATAATCACTGTCAAAGTTTTTTCTGCATTAAGCCCACATTTCTCAGTCTTAGGTACTTGCCTTTTTCTATTACTTGGTCTCTCCACTTTTTTAATGGGTACCCATAATTTATTGCACCCTTACTATGGGCCAGCACTGTACTTATGAGTTCCCTACATTATCTCATCGATCTATTAAATGACCCTGTGAAGAAGGTTTTCTTATCCTCACAGCTTAAAGATAAAAATGACTAAGATTTAGGAGGGTTGAGCAGTTTGCCTGAGATCATACAATCAGGAATTTATACTTTCAACTACCCCAGTATTATGAAAACTGGGAGGCCCCTGCTGACTCACTGGGCAGTGTGGACAGGAGTTGGGGTGTAAGTTAGTTTTAAAAGGGAGTGTAAATGCAGCTATAGATAGAGGCAGAGATGGAGAACAAGAATGCAGAATTTGACTAAGTCATATTTTCACTTGGAATTAGTCATACTTTAAATGTCAACTGAATACACACCCAATTAGTTAAAGAAATTTAATCTACAACAAAGGTGGTATCTTGATGAGGAAATGCATAATTAAATCCCCTCTCTACACACAAATATAGAACAACATGGGTGAATCCCTTATTTGGAGATGGAGAAAAGTTATTCCAACAATGGCTCAAAATCCAGAAACATGGTTTAAAAAAACAAAACCATGAAGACAAATTGGGAAAAATATTTGTAATTTATATCACTGATAAAGGTCTAAAAGTCCTAATATATAAAAAGCTTGTAAAAGTAGAGATGACCAATTACTATGAAAGAAATGGACAAGAAATATAGGCCGTTCACAGAAAATTCAAATGGTTCCTAAGCATATGAGAAGAATGCTCAATCTCATTTATATTGGGAGATGTAAATTAAATTGCCACTGAGACCCATCACTCGCTTTTAGATCAAGAAAAATATAAAAGTTTGAAAATTGTTGACACTGAGAAACAGGCACTGTACTCCTAGTGGGAGGGAATATTAAATGGTCTAATCCCTAGAGTCAGGGGTAGGGAGAATTGGAAGTTTTACATTGGAATTTGCCCTATGACCCAACATCCTAGTCCCTGGGGATCTATCCTTTTGGTGGACTGTACATGACTTCTAGAATACTTCTGCCTGTATGCATATCTTTGGGTGGTCACTCTCTTCCGCAAACAGTGGATTTGTCTGAGTACCCTGGGACAGTAGCAAAGTTAATGCAAACAGAAGATTGGGAAGTACTCGTGCACTGGGGCTTGTTTCTCTTAATGTGCTTGGAACCCTGAGACTGGCACAAGAACGTATAAACGAGTGCTAGCTAACCTACTGGGTGGTGAGAGGCCACTCGTGGCATCTTGGTTGACAGCCGACCAACCTCCTGCCATGTGAATGACTCTACTTTGGATTATCCAGTTCCAACTGAGATGACAGCTGACTTTAGTCACATGAGTGGGAACATGTGACTGAAGTCAACTGTCAGTCACATGTTGAACTCTGCAAAAATCGCTTATCCCCTCTCTACACACAAATATAGAACAACATGGGTGAATCCCTTATTTGGAGATGGAGAAAAGTTATTCCAACAATGGCTCAAAATCCAGAAACATGGTTTAAAAAAACAAAACCATGAAGACAAATTGGGAAAAATATTTGTAATTTATATCACTGATAAAGGTCTAAAAGTCCTAATATATAAAAAGCTTGTAAAAGTAGAGATGACCAATTACTATGAAAGAAATGGACAAGAAATATAGGCCGTTCACAGAAAATTCAAATGGTTCCTAAGCATATGAGAAGAATGCTCAATCTCATTTATATTGGGAGATGTAAATTAAATTGCCACTGAGATCCATCACTCGCTTTTAGATCAAGAAAAATATAAAAGTTTGAAAATTGTTGACACTGAGAAACAGGCACTGTACTCCTAGTGGGAGGGAATATTAAATGGTCTAATCCCTAGAGTTAGGGGTAGGGAGAATTGGAAGTTTTACATTGGAATTTGCCCTATGACCCAACATCCTAGTCCCTGGGGATCTACCCTTTTGGTGGACTGTAAATGACTTCTAGAATACTTCTGCCTGTATGCGTATCTTTGGGTGGTCACTCTCTTCCGCAAACAGTGGGTTTGTCTGAGTACCCTGGGACAGTAGCAAAGTTAATGCAAACAGAAGATTGGGAAGTACTCGTGCACTGGGGCTTGTTTCCCTTAATGTGCTTGGAACCCTGAGACTGGCACAAGAACGTATAAACGAGTGCCAGCTAGCCTACTGGGTGGTGAGAGGCCACTCGTGGCATCTTGGTTGACAGCCGACCAACCTCCTGCCATGTGAATGACTCTACTTTGGATTATCCAGTTCCAACTGAGATGACAGCTGACTTTAGTCACATGAGTGGGAACATGTGACTGAAGTCAACTGTCAGTCACATGTTGAACTCTGCAAAAATCGCTGACCTACAGAATGCTGAGCTAATATATGAGGTTGCTTTACACCACCAAGTTTTGAGGTAATGTGCTATAGACAGCAACAGCTAAGTGATCCTATTCTAAAGATACTCTGACAAATGAAAAGACATGTTCCCTGAAGCATTGCCTATGATAGCAAAAGACGGGACAACTCAGATGTCCACCAGTTCACGGACGGTTGAATACAGTACAGTGTGTCCACTCAGGGAATACTAAGCAACTGCGCTAGAAGTAGCTCTACATTTATGAAGGGACTTTCAGGATATGTTTTTGAGTGGGGAAAAAAGCAAAGTACAAAATAGTCCATATATGTGCTACTTTTTTAGGGAGGGGGAATGTGAATATTTTTGCTTTAATTTTTTTAAATGGAAGAATTGGCAATAAAAAATTACTTCTTAAAGAAAAAGGAAGGGGACACAAATGAGACTTCACTAATATATTTTGTTTTGTGACTATAATTTTAGAGTCATGGAAATGTTTTATATGTAGTGTATACACACATACATACACATGAAATCATGAGAATATTTGGTCTCACAGCTGGGCACCTGTGAGCCTCACCGGAGATTGGCCAACATACCAGCAGAACTCATCAGGAAGCCACCCATTCAGGCGCTGCTGAAACCCAACGGGAGGTGAGTGCCCCCCTAAGCTCCTGAGCTTGGTTGCTCTCGACCACAGATAAGCGTGGAGAATGCAGTATAAGCTGGAAGAGATGCTCCTTCCTCTTCCAGTGTCTCTCTGATGTCCTCTAATGACAAAGCTTAACATCTTGCCAAAAGAGAAATATTTCTGGGGTCTAGCTTCAGGATCTGGAGAAGGTAATGGCACCCCACTCCAGTACTCTTGCCTGGAAAATCCCGTGGATGGAGGAGCCTGGTAGGCTGCAGTCCATGGGATCGCTAAGAGTCAGGCACGACTTCACTTTCAGTTTTCACTTTCACGCATTGGAGAAGGAAATGGCAACCCACTCCAGTGTTCTTGCCTAGAGAATCCGAGGGACTGGGGAGCCTGGTGGGCTGACGTCTATTGGGTCGCACAGAGTCGGACACAACTGAAGTGATTTAGCAGCTTCAGGATCACACCCTGGAACGAGGAAGGGTGGGTTTGGAGCTGCACAGTGTTAAGTTGATAACTAGCACACATACTGTGGTATTTACAGATGATATAATAGGATGTCTGCAATTCGCTTCAAAATAGTCCTGTAGGTATAGATGAAACAATATCATGCACATGTTGATAATTATTGAAGTTAGGACAGGTATATAAGGGTTCATTTTACTTTTTATATGAATTTGGGCAAACTCCTGAAGATGGTGAGGGACAGGGAGGCCTGGCATGCTGCAGTCCATGGGGTCATAAAGAGTCGGACACGACTGACCAACTGAACAACAATAATACTTTTATACATGGTTTTCTGCTTTATATATACATATATATGAGAAAACGTGTATAAAAAGTCTCTCTACTTTTTATATGTTTTCATATATATGATATATATTATACATTTGTTTTCTCATGTATATCTTATGTATATGAGATAGACATGTAAATGCAAATACATGTATGTGTGTGTGTATAAATGTTCCCTACTCATTTTCATTATCAAAGATGTTTAAAAAGGTGAATGTGAACATATGATTTGTCCCTGGGAAGTCTACACTTTATTTTGTAACCTAGCCATCTAGGCTGCTAGTGCTGTTCAGAATTTGGGAGAAGCCAGCTATCAAGCTTATGCAATCTGGGTGTTCCCTGACTGTGGGGACAGAACTGTCACTCTTGCTGATGACTACACAGACAGGGCTTTCCCTCCTATTGGAAAGTTTAGGGTGGGGCTAGGAGGCCAAATTATGGGTACCAACATGTTCTTAGCAGTGAAAGAGACCGAAATAATTGTTTGAAATGAGTTAATGTGTGTCAAGCATTTAATGCCTAGAGTGTTCTTTCTAAGGGCTATGTGAGTGTTTGTTGTTATTGTTTCATGTTAATGATTTTCCCATCATCAGCCAACCTGAAATATGCCCTCTGCTGACAAGGTCCCTTCTTCCCTCCTGAGGTGGTGTCTTTGATTCCTTATAACCCAGAAATTCAGACCTTGAACTCTTGGAGAGCCGACTGGTAGCCAAGAATGTTTTGTTTTCCTCTGTTTCTTGCCTCTTGTGGGGAGAGGCAGCCAGCAGAACTGTTCCCTCAGCAAATGCAGCGACAGCTGAGACTAGCACAGTGCTGGGGGCCGAAAGGTGATGATGGCCAAAGTGCTGGTCATGGTGAGGGCAGCAGTGACAGTGGCCCCGAGCAGGGCCAGGGCCCGGGGCAGGCTGCGTGGGGCCCCAGAGGAGTGCAGTGCACACAGTCACCGTGGGTACCACGTAAGTGTGTCAGGGACTCGAGGAAGTAGATGAGACATCTGACCACACGGCAAGGGTGGGGTGAGGGCTGTAGATGCCAGGGTGTTTGACGACTTGGACAAAGTTGATGAAAACTTGACTGGAGATTTTGGAGGGAGATGTTTCGTAGTCTGCCCCCTCAGTGGTGGCAGTATGCCATGTGTTCGTGTGTAAATATGGGCATCTTTTTTGCATGCAGCAGTGGCAATAGGAGATTTAGTCGCCCAGTAAAAAGGAGTCAAACTTCATATTTTGCTTAAATAGGCAAATAAGTAGACTCTACTGGGTAATCAACCTGATATATGTTTTTTCCTCTACAGTGGGGTTGCATTTCATACACATATACATATACATTTAATTAATTGGAATTTGTCTAAAAGTGCTTGGCTTAGCAAACCAGCAGCCTCCACAACAGTAAAAGCAAGAAAAGTGAGCTAAAGACAAAAGTATTCATTTTAATAGTGTATCCACCATGACACCAACAACTGCTGTTCCCCTGCGCTGTCTCAGTTCTTGTGTGATTCTCAGAGAGCAGCATCTTGCTGCTCTGTGGGATTCTAGCCCTTGAAGACATGGTTTCATTTTTTGTTTGGTTTTTAATAGAACGTGTACTCTAAATGCAAACAAGCTACCTCGTTCAGAACTCGATGAAGAATACCAACTTCTCACTCTCTTTTCTTACAGAATTAAACAATATTGAAAATTATGTTCTTCATGTCACTTGTGTTAAATGGAATCATTTGAAAGTGATATATATTACCAAGTAGGGCAAGTATACGTAACATTATGCACTCTAAATTAAGGGGTTAACAACTTTAGCTGCTACATGGTTTGATTTTACATGCTGACTTTAGATCCTATCCCTGTATAAAACTTGGCTCCTCTTGATGATTCCTATTACATATATTGAATCACAACAGATGTCTCATTGTTTGGTGTTGAATTAGTGTTGCACAGAGGGTGTGTCAAAATTTAATGTTTATCATTTTGTTTCATATAAAACAACAGTAGATTCTTAAGAGCAGGTGGGTTCAGCATT